CGTTCGTCACTAATTACTCATATCGTTGAATATACGTGATATGTTTGAGGCTTTCAGTTTAATTGCCTGTCATCAATTTCACGACTTTCAATTTATGTTTACATATTCAGAACACGTTGCAAATTTGCGGTTATAACACCATTGCAACAACTTCTTTCGTTCGTACACNTTAAAGTATTATTTGTCGATGATGAATGTGTATTATGGCCTTCAAAAGTATTACGTCTTTTCAAGAATATAGCAGTCGAGTATTATGGCCTTTAAAGCGGATTAATGTCGAAAACCATAATCGAAATTGAATGCTAAATTTATCGTTATCACATTAAGCAGCTTATGCACATCCTCTTTGTCATGCCAACAAAAACGATCACAACCCATTCGCGAACCAATAAATGCATCGACACTCATAAATCACGAATTGTGTCATGAGTCAATAACACAATTTGTACAACACATGATCAAACTCAAGTGCGTTCGTCACTAATTACTCATATCGTTGAATATACGTGTAATGTTTGAGGCTTTCAGTTTAATTGCCTGTCATCAATTTCATAACTTTCAATTTATGTTTACATATTGAGAACACGTTGCAAATTTGCGTTTATAACACCATTGCAACAACTTCTTTCGTTCGTACACTAGGTGTACAGTAGTATCTGTGTTTGTTAATGGCGACTGCACTCGAATATTATGAAATTGGAAGGGATAGGGGTCGCTTGTTTTGTTTTTTTTGTGAACAAATGAATAAGCTTTAAGCGATTATGACTTTAAAAATGTCGAGAGGTGGAAGTGTAATCTATGATATATCTGAAACTTACTCTTTTAAAGATTGTTCCACGAACAACCTTCTCCGATTGTATTTCATTAACTTATAAATGACTGCTCATCATTTAAACATGTATCGCGCTCCAGCTGAAAGTACAAATGCCATTCCATCGATCTGATGAAGACATCATTTAATCAAATCACATTATTTCAATGTTCATAATGTGAAGGCCTCCACATCCCGTACTCAAAAAAAGCTTCCCAAGCTGACAATTTTTTTTCGGCAAACTCATTACGCATAAACGACAACAATCAAACATTTTTCCTCTCATGACCGTATACATATATATAATCATCAGTTTCACGAAATTCTATTTCCAAGCAAATTAACAAACTGCATCTGCTTCTCAGTGAACGGTGCAAGGTTTATGCTACTGATAGTGAGACAAAAAAGAATGAATGCTGAATCGTAAACATTTGATCGTTGTCTCTCTTATTGTTTTCATGCGATCGGTTGGCATGGAGATTAGCTTTTGTCAAAAAGCTTTCAGGGAACTGGACGATTGGTTAGTGTCATTTCTAGGTAGGTGTTGACGTTGATGCTCTGAGGTAATACTCTCAATACTCTATTGACGCTGATGCTCTGAGGTAATACTCTCAATGTTTGATCGTATGATTTCCATTGCCATTCCTTACTGTGAATTTCATCATTCCCACATCATAATGACGAACAGTGTGAAAATAATACTTGTTTATTAGACAGTCATCGAATGCGCGTCGCTGTCACTGATTTCATTCGTCGAATCTCGTTAGCATCACTAAAACTTAACGAAGCGATAATTGCAAATGGCTCATGCATATGAATGATCAGTCTAGCAGTAGACGATTATTCAGTCGTTGTTTGCTCTCCAAAATATAGTCACGAAGAAATTATTTGATTGCGTTTTCATCGTTCGATGTGTTCATTAGCAAAAACGAGACTATTGCAACTTAACGCTTAAATTGGTCTCTTGAGATGATT